TGGAAAAAGAGGGAATCCTCCCTAACTCATTTTATGAGGCCAGCATCATCCTGATACCAAAGCCTGGTAGACACAACAAAAAAATATAATTTTAGACCAGTATCCCTGATGAACATCGATGTGAAAATCCTCAACAAAATACTTGTCAACCAAATCCAGCAGCACATCAAAAAGCTTATCTAACAAGATCAAGTTGGCTTCATTCCTGGGATGCAAGGCTGGTTCAACACATGCAAATCAATAAACGTAATTTATCACATAAACAGAAGCAAAGACAAAAACTACATTATCTCAATAAATGCAGAAAAGGCCTTCGACAAAATTCAACAGCCCTTCATGCCAAAAACTTTCAATAAACTAGGTATTGACGGAATGTATCTCAACATAATAAGAGCTATTTATGACAAACCCACAGCCAGTATCATACTAAATGGGCAAAAAACTGGAAGCATTCCCTTTGAAAACTGGCACAAGACAGGGACGCCCTCTCTCACCACTCCTATTCAACACAGTGTTGGAAGTTCTGGCTAGGGCAATCAGGCAGGAGAAAGAAATAAAGGGTAGCAATTAGGAAAACAGGAAGTCAAACTGTCCCTGTTTGCAGATGACATGATTGTATATTTAGGAAACTCCGTCATCTCAGCCCAAAATCTCCTTAAGCTGATAAGCAACTTCAGCGAGGTCTCAGGATACAAAATCAATGTGCAAAAATCACAAGCATTTTTATACACCAATAACAGACAGAGAGCCAAATCATGAGTGAACTCCCATTCACAATTGCTTCAAAGAAAATAAAATACCTAGGAATCCAACTTAACAAGGGATGTGAAGGACGTCTTCAAGAACTAGAAACCACTGCTCAACGAAATAAAAGTGGACACAAACAAATGGAAGAACATTCCATGTTCACAGATAGGAAGAATCAATATCATGAAAATGGCCATATTGCCCAAGGTAATTTATAGATTCAAAGCCATCCCCATCAAGCTACCAATGTCTTTCTTCACAGAATTGGAAAAAACTACTTTAAAGTTCATACAGAAACAAAAAAGAGTCTGCATTGCCAAGACAATCCTAAGCAAAAAAAACAAAGCTGGAGGCATCACGCTACCCGACTTCAAACTATACCACAAGGCTATAGTAAACCCAAAAACAGCATGGTACTGGTACCAAAACAGAGATACAGACCAACGGAACAGAACAGAGGTCCTCAGAAATACTACCACACATCTACCAACCATCTGATCTTTGACAAACCTGACAGAACAAGAAAATGGGAAAACGATTCTTCTATCTAATAAATAGTGCTCGGGAAAACTGGCTACCATATGTAGAAAGGCTAAAACCTGGATCCCTTCCTTACAACTTATGCAAAAATTAATTCAAGACATGGATTAAGACTTAAATGCTAGACCTAAAATCGTAAAAACCCTAGAAGAAAACCTAGGCAATACTAATCAAGGACAAATGCATGGTCGAGGAGTTCATGACTAAAACACCAAAAGCAAAATGGCAACCAAAAGCCAAAACAGACAAATGGGATCTAATTAAACTAAAGAGCTTCTGCACAGCAAAAGAAACTACCATCAGCATGAACAGGCATCCTAATAGAAATGGGAGACAATTTTTGCAATCTACCCATCTGACAAGGCTAATATCCAGATCTACAAAGAACTTAAACAAATTTACTAGAAAAAAATCAAACAACCCCATCAGAAGTGGGGGGCCAAAAGGGGGAAAAATTTTATGAACAGATACTTCCTCAAAGAAGACATTATGCAGCACAGACACATGAAAAAATGCTCATCATCACTGGCCATCAGAGAAATGCAAATCAAAACACAGTGAGATACCAACTCACACCAGTTAGAATGCAATCATTAAAAAAGTCGGGAAATAACAGGTGTTGGAGAGGATGTGGAGAAACAGGAACACTTTTACAACCGTTGGGTGGGAGTATAAACCTAGTTCAACCACTGTGGAAGCAGTGCGGTGATTCCTCAAGGATCTAGAACTAGAAATACCCATGTGGACCCAGCCATCCCATTACTGGGGATATACCCAAAGGATTATAAACCATGCTGCTATAAAGACACAGCACATGTATGTTCACTGCAGTACTATTCACAATAGCAAAACTTGGAACCAACTCAAATGTCCATCAATGACAGACGGGATGTAAGAGAATTGGCCACATACTACCAACATGGATACCACCAGCCATAAAAAGATGAGTTCTGTCCTTTGTGAGGGACATGGATGAAGCTGGAAACCATCATTCCTCAGCAAAACTATCGCAAGGACAGAAAACCAAACACTGAGCGTTTTCACTCATAGGTGGGGACTGAACAATGAGAACACTTGGACACAGAGGGAAAACATCACACACCAGGGCCTGTTGTGGGATGGAGGAGGAGGGAGGGATAGCATTAGAGAAATACCTAAATGTAAAATGTATGAGTTAATGGGTGCAGCATAACCAGCATGGCACATGAAATACATATGTAACAATCTGCACGTTGGTGCACATGTACCCTAGAACTTAAAGTATAAAAAAAAAAAAAAAGAAAAAAAAGATGGTCTTTGCTATAAGTCAAAATATAAGGAGCTACAGTCCTTATATTTTATTTAAAATTTCCTTTGATTCCGGTCAAAATGATTTAAAGTTGGGAAGATGATGTCACTCTTAACACCTGAATAATGAATACAGTCTTGACATTACAAGTAGATAAAAACCTTGAACATTTGCTGATACACTTTGGGCAACAAATGTAAATAACCAGCAACAAGTTGAAACCAGATTTAAACCTGTATGACTTGTTCTTCCTTCTTTCGGCGTTCTTCATCCTGTAAACGTTTTTGTTGTTTTTTGGATACCACTTCAGTAAAACCATCATCATTCAAATTTGACTGGGGATCTTCAATTACTGTTACTTCAGGATGATCATCAATTATAACAACACCTGTGGGTGTGGAAAAGGATTTAAGATATTTTCTGTTTTTCAAATGTTTCCCACCCTATAGCATGGCCATTCATTGTAAAGATTTGAAAAGATTTCATACACTTAAAAGTTAAAAATAAAAATCCTAAAACTGGCCAGGTGCAGTGTCTCACGTCTGTAATCCCAGCACTTTTGGAGGTCAAGATGGGCATACTGCTTGAGGCCAGAAGTTCGAGACCAGCATGGCCAACATGACAAAACCCTCTCTCTACTAAAAATACCAAAATTAGACGAGTGTGGTGGTATACACCTGTAGTCCCAGATACTTGGGAGGCTGAAGCACAAGAATCATTTGAACCTGGGAGATAGAGGTTGCAATGAGCTGAGACCGTGCCACTGCATTCCAGCCTGAGTGACAGAGTGCGACTCTGTCCAAAAAATCCTAAAAATATCGTTTTAAATGATATAGTTAAGTAATATAGTGGTAATGCCTTAAAAAAGAAACAAAATCAAAATTTTCCTATGAACTAACCTCTATCTCTTAGCCTCAGATCTGTATAGTGCTTTAAAAGATCTACAAAACATTCTACCTCATTTGCATCTAACCATTCTAAGAGGTGGCTGTTACTATTATTTCTCTTTTTCAAAAAATGAAATAAACTGGCTTAGTGCTTCAGCATATTGGGAGGCCGAAGTGGGAGGATCATTTGAGGCCAACAGTTTCACACCAGCCTGGGCAACATGGGGAGACCCTGTCTCTACTTTAAAACCAAACATATAAATAAATAAATAATGTTTTAAAAAATGAAATAAGCTGATTTAAGGTAAGATGACCGGCCTAGATGGTCTTATGACTCTTAATGTCTCTGTTTTATGTAGACCCTTGTCTACAGTGTGGAGTTTTAAAAAATAAATGTGTTATGGGCAACGTAGTGAAACCCTGTCTCTAGAAAAAATGTAAAAATTAGCTAGGTGCACGCCTGTGGTCCCAGCTACTCGGGAGTCTGAGGTAGGAGAATGACTTCAGTTGGAGGGGTTGAGATGGCAGTGAGCTGAGATCATGCCACCGCACTCCAGCCTGGGAGAGAGAGACCCTGTCTCAATCAATCAATTAAAATAAATAAATGTGTAAGCTGTGTGTGAATGTAAGATGGCATAGGTGAACACATACCAAAATCATCTAGGTGATGAATAACTCAAGATCATTTTTCAACTTCTTTTCCCACTAACCATTACTTTGTCTATCTTAAAATTATCCTATATCCCAGTCAGTATGTGAAATATAAATCCATCAAATAATATTTCCAAGAAAAATTAAATTACTTCAGGTAATGTAATTTTTTATTATAGGTATAATATCTGAACAATAAGTGTAAGTATCGAGAAAGAGTGAAGCAATTTAAAGAAATTATTTAATTTTCAAACAATATACAATATTTTAATTGGAAATTACACATACAATAAAAATATTTTTCTTGGAAACAATAAGTATACAATTCAGGATGGTGATAACTTGTTGGGTACAGCAACAAGGGAAGGTGATACTTGTTAGGTGTAGCAACATAGGTATGATCAGGGAAGTGGTCAGAGAAACTATCTACAAACAATTCTTCTAAAATAGTTAAAACTTAGCATTAACATACACTGAGAGATGAAATGAAAAATGACTACTGGCTTTCACTCCTTAGAAACTGGCTGGGCATGGTGGCTCACACCTGTAATCCCAGCACCTTGGGAGGCCAAGGAAGGCAGATCACATGAGGTCAGGAGTTCACGGCTAGCCTGGCCAACATGGTAAAACCCTGTCTCTACTAAAAATACAAAAAAAATTAGCTGGGCATAGTGGCACGCGCCTGTAGTCCCAACTATTCAGAAGGCTGAGGTAGGAGAATCATTTGAACTGGGGAGGTGGAGGTTGCAGTGAGCTGAGATTATGCCACTGCATTCCAGCCTGGGCCATAGAGTAAGACTCCGTCTCAAAAAAAAAAAAAAAAAAAGGAAATTTGATTTCAAAAGAAAAAAAACCCCAGTTGATTCTGATTTATAAGACAAGTCTACTTGTTTTTAAAATCCTTTTAAAAATCATGAACTCTGTAAAATGAAGCATATTCTCATTTCAATGAAATGTCTGAGTCAAACACTTCAAAGGATGTCATGCACACATTACTTCAGACTGACAGAAAGACCTCATCATAATTCTAATATCATCTCAGTTTTTCACTTACACTAAAATGTGTGTGCGTAAAGCCTATCTTATTATTTCAACTTCCTTATTTCACCCAACTACATGTAGCATTTATGGAAAATTTGAACACTACATTTTAGTTTCCAGTGACCTCTTCTTTTTACCATTTTAGGTTAGGCATATTACTTAAAAATAATGTTACCAGGAAAAAGAACTAAAGGTGATTAACTCTTAAAGATAACTTTAATGAGTTGAAGTGAATAGCTTAATTTCTATCACCACTTCAGAAATATAGTTTTTATCTGTTTTTGTTATGTCTTTTTTTTTTTTTTTAAACAGACATGCGCCACCATGCCTGGCTAATTTTGTATTTTTAGTAGAGACGAGGTTTCTCCATGTTGGTCAGGCTGGTCTCATACTCCTGACCTCAGGTGATCCACCCAACTCGGCCTCCCAAAGTGCTGGGATGACAGCCCTGAGCCACTGCGCCGGGCCTAGTGGCTCACGCCTGTCATCCCAGCACTTTGGGAGGCCAAGGCGGGCAGATGGCTTAAGCTCAGGAGTTCGAGACCACCCTGGACAACATGGCGAAAACCCATTTCTTCAACAACAAAAAATTAGCTGGACATGGTGGCTCATGCCTGTAGTTCCAGCTACTCGGGAAGCTGAGGCTGGGGAATTGCTTGAGTCTGGGATGCAGATGTTGCAGTGAGCTGAGATTGTGTCATTGCACACCAGCCTGGGCAACAGAGTAAGACTCTGTCTCATAACAAACAAACAATGAAGAATTTGCATTGCTCACAAATTTCCAGATAATGCTGATGATGTGGGGACCACGCTTTGAGAACCACTGGTCAAAAAATAATGTCCATGAGCTGTGCTCAAATCAGGGCTTAATATGTACAAATAACCATTAGGCAGATGAAAGAAAAACCTCATCTACATCTCTCACACTAGAATAAGCGCAACTAACCCAACTTTCCTATTACTACTATTATTATTACTATCTGAGCTATCTGGTCTTAACTTAGTAAATATCTCGATTTTATTCAGTATTTCCAGTTTCATCCAAATGAATGGCAAATAGTACATTTTACATGTATAAATGTCTATACACAGATACTCCTTGTCTGTTTCCTCATCTAGTATTTTCTTGTTGCTTGTATTATCCTTCTTCATATTTGATCCTCTATTACTTCATGGCTTTCCCAGTTATCCACAGTGACACTGCCTCTTGTCCTATTATTTATTTTGTATTTGCTGTATCTTAGACACCAATTTTACCAAGGACATAATTCACCAAGTTTAACATTTCGTTCCTTTTGTTTCTAATAATACATCTATACCAATATAACTAAGAATCAAATTTCTGTGCTTTCTCAAATCTGGCAAACTAGAGTGTTTACTTAATTTTCTTCCTCTTTTTTGGAAGAACAGTGCAATGCTATTGGATTATTTTTAACAAAAATTTTATTAAGCATTCAAGGCTACACTAAAAGCTGGAATTATTTTAGTTTAAGTTCAATTAGTTAGTATTTCATAATCAGCCACTATGTATACCTTGAATGTCCAACTCTTTCCTTCTTGGAAAACTTCTTTAATTGTGGCATCTACATTTTAAAATGTAACAAATAAATAAATAAAATGAAAGAAACCTAAGACATACTTGCATAATTGTTGAGATCAAACTGAGACAGAGCATCCACTTTCTCTTTAGGTTTTTTAGGACCTGGTTTGGGGTCTTCTCTTTTTTTCCCAGTAGAATCTTTGGAGTTCTTTTGTCCTGTACCATTGGGTACTCCTTCCTGATGGTGTGCAGAGCTGCCATTGACGAGGTCAACCCCAGTTGTGCCTGCAGGCTGGTCATCAAATGGCCTACAAAAAGATGACTTGAGGTATTACTATTTCCACCTATCCGAACAAAAGAAAAATGCTCTTATTGGCAGTTTCTAAAGTTCATTCTAAGATGAAACACTGCTGGGATAGAAAACTAACTGTAACCAAACAAGCATTAGTGACTTTTGTTGAATGCAACCTTACTAAAACTGGGTTTCCCAAGAAAGTAGACTAGCTCCCTAGAGTTCTTTCCAGCAATTAAATTCTAGAATTCTAATTATACCTGAAGTTCTTAAAGAATCTATTTGTCTATCATATTATAAATGAGCTAATTAACACTGTTTATAGAACATTTCTGTGATCCAAGCAAGTTCAAAGTATTCACAAATGGATGCGCTCCAAAAGTGGGCAGCATGTGAAAATAAAAATTTTTAAAAAGCATTCTATATTTACAACTATGTGGATTTAAAAAAAGTAATCAGATTTACACATTGATATAATTATTTTAAAAACCTTAATATAGAAATAATTCACTTCACAAACCAAATGTATTCCCTACAGTTCTTATTTCCTAAAAGAATAATTTCAGGTTGATTTTTTAAAATTTCCAAGTGAAAAGGATCATGGGAAATGGGTTTACTAATACATTTTCATCCTAGCCTATAGTATTACTCAAGATAAAAGCTTACCATGTCCCTGGCCATAACCTCAAACATTTTAGGAATGAGTTCATTTCTTCTACATGGTGCTCTTATAAAACATTTAATTATAATCGTCACTGCCATTTCCATAGGTTCAAAGTTGTTGCTACCTATCTAGGTGGCACAAAAATCTTGCTACTTAGTTGAGATTTACATGGCACAAAAATCATATCAAAACTTTGAGTATTGTTACTTAAAATTCTAATTGTTTGGTTACAGGAAATAAACTATTCTATTTATTTTGGTTATCCTGATTCTCTTGGAATTTTAAGGGAATCAAATTCCAAGTAAAAATTTCCTCTTTCTAAATTATCTGGAACAGCAAGTATATCTTCTCTAATGCTGTGGTTTGAACGTATCCCTCAAAAGTTCATGTGTGGGGCCGGCACTCTGGGAGGCTGAAGTGAGCAGATCACCTGAGGCCAGAAGCTCGAGACCAGCCTAGCAAACATGGTGAAACCCTGTCTCTTCTAAAAATACAAAAATTAGCTGGGCATGGTAGTGCACGCCTGTAATCCTAGCCACTAGAGAGGCTGAGCAAGGAGAAATGCTTGAACCCAGGGGGGTGGAGGTTGCAGTGAGCTGAGATTGTGCCACTGTACTCCAGAGCCTGGGTGACAGTGAGACTCCATCCCCCCCACCTGCCCCATCAGGAAAAAAAAAAAAAAAGAAAAGAAAACGTTCATGTGTTGGAAACTTGGTCCCTAATGCCAGTGCAGCAGTGGTGAGCGGTGAGAACTTTGGGAGGTGATTATGTCATGAGGGCTCTGCCCTTCTGAATGGATTGATCCTTAACAGGTTAATGAATGGGTTATCAAGGGAGTTGGTTAGTTATCATGAATGAGTCTGTTATAAAAGCCAGTCCTGCCATCTCTTGTGAGCCCCCTCACCATGTGATAAGCATGGTGCCTTGGGACTCTGCAGAGTCTCTACCAACAAGAAGGCCCTCACAAGATGTGGCCCCCTCAACCTTGGACTTTGCAGCCAAGAGATTTGCAAGAAATACATTTCTTTTCTTTATAAATTACCCAGTCTCAGGTATTTAGTTATATCAACAGAAAATAGACAAATATACCTTACGAGTATAGTAACCTGAAGTGCTAAGTATGTAAACCTAAGGAACTCAGATTAATACCATACAGTCCAAATAAATTCTTAAATTCTTATCAGCTCAGGCTGCAAACCTGGCAATTGCTCTAAAAGCAGGGCACACATAATAATGATTACTTACTATATACCAAGTATTAAGTGCATCACAAGTATCATCTTAGTATCTTCACACATTAAGTGCTATTATTTTCTCCCCATTTTACTGGTGAGGATGCAAAGGGTAAGCAACTAGAAAGTATCAGAGCCTAGATTTGAACTTGGGCATTCTGAATCTTAACTGCTACTTTATAATGCTTTCTAATACTAAAGAAATCAATACTAGCTTACTATAACCAACGTCTTTTTTTTTTTTTTTTTTTTGAGACGGAGTCTTGCTCTGTGGCCCAGGCTGGAGTGCAGTGGCACGATCTCGGTTCACTGCAAGCTCCGCCTCCCGGTGGCGCCTGCCACCATGCCCGGCTACTTTTTTGTATTTTTAGTAGAGACGGGGTTTCACTGTGTTAGCCAGGATGGTCTCAATCTCCTGACCTTGTGTGAGGACCTCGTGCTTCGGCCTCCCAAAGTGCTGGGATTACAGGTGTGAGCCACTGCGCCCAGCCCAACATCTTAATACTTAAAAAAACAGGCCAAGTTTAGCTTACTTGAGAAAAATTCTTAAAAAAAATCCATTGCCATGGCAATTATGTTACTGGTGTCCTTGGCAGTAGAACAGGGATTTGTTTTCTGGGCCTCACTATAGATGATTGTTGATTATAGATTCGCAACCCAAGATAAGAATACAATTTATCCTTAATGTTCAACACTAATTCTCAAGAAACCAGTATTGAGTGATAAAGTATACGGTTATAACATTAATTTAAACCTCGGAGGACACCTGTGTAGCACTAGAGGTTTATAAGGAGAAACTGAGAAAGAAGGGAGGGTTACTCATCAGATACTTACCAAATAAGGACACCGTACATGTCCCTCCCTAGATGCGTACATTTTCCCAAAGCTACAAGTTTCCAAGAGGACTCTTCTGGAAAATGTAACTTAGCAGGGAAAGACTCCTAAGACACCTTAGCCTCTCTTCCTTAAGCACCCTTACACTTTGAGAACAGAGAATAAAGCATTTGGGAAGAACAATGTTTTTTGGTCCTTTATCTAGACTGGCTCTTCAACCAAGAACTCTACTTTTAAGCTTCTTTAAAGGTGCGGAAGCAACTATATTTAAAACAAAGTACTCACCCTCTCTTCCCACTTTTTGATGGTGGACCACTTCTCCTTTCATTTCTAGGACCTGAGAAATTCCTTCCTGATTTGGGTGGACCATTGTTGCCACGTCGATTCTGACGATCTACTGGTCTCTGACTTGAAAAACTTCTCTTTGCAATTTCCCTCTTTGGCGGTAAAACATTCTCTCCAATCTTTACAACTGTTTGTGCATTCAAGTCAGCATTTTTTTTTTCATCCCTCTCTCGCCTCTCATTGAAATCACTGCTTTCAGAAGCTGTTTCCCATTCTTCATTTGCCTGATCTGAAGAGTTCTGATTAGATAAATCTGGTGTCTTATTCCCAGAAATATCCCCAATCGTATTAACTGGTTCTTGAGCCACATTATTAACTGTGCCATTTGTGGGCACTGCTACCACCTCATTTGATTTTGAAGCAGCCTCCCTCTCTCTTAGCCGTCTAAATCGAGGTGGTTTGTCTTGCCTTGGTGGTCGGGTAGGACGCTGCCTTCGAGGCCTTTCTCTAGCTGGGTCAAATTTTCGCTCAAATTTTGGAGGTCGTTTATCTGCTGCTATAGGAATAAACTGCTCGTGTCTTCTTGGTGGCTCTCCATCTTCTGGTTTAGGAAGTTCTGACTGCCTTGGGTTCCACTGATTGTCCCGATAAGCTGGTCTTCGTAAAGTGGAAGGGCGTGATGGACGGCCTCCAGGATCCCTCCCACCACGCCTGAATGTTCCCCCTCTGCCTCTCCTTGTAGGCTCTCCTTTAGGAAGAAAGCCTGGTTTAGATTTATCGTCATCCCTTACATAAGGCTTTTCTAGCAGTCTATTATCTATTCGAACATGACTATCAGGCTTGAAAGAAGATTGAGGCTTCATAGGTTTTTTGTTTTCAGGCCGTTCCTCTCTTTTGGGAAGTTTGCCTTTACTTAAACTATCCTTGTCACTTGCACTTTCATGAATTTCACTGTCTGTGTCAGTCTCTGAACCCCGCTGTCGTCTTCTTTTGGGGACAACTTCAAAATCGGAGCTCTCACTCCGTGTTTCACTTTCTTCTCGCTGTCTGAGAGGCCCTGAGGGTACATGCTCTGCTCTTGGCTTATTGTCTCTATACTGAGGATAATCTCGAGTGTGTCCCCTACCACCCCTGCCACGCCCTCCATAAGAACCTCTATAGCTTCGACCTCTGGAGTAATATTCACCTCGGCCTCGACCTCTGTATCCTTGATCTGGAAACCAATCTCTATCTCTAGCTTCTTTCCAGTAGGTCCTGGGAGGTAAAGTTGATTCTTTTTTAATTGCTGGTCTTGAATCTGGTCGAGGCCTCTCCATAACAAGGTCTTTGCTGATGACTTTCTCAGGTTGTTTTTCTTCTTTGACTATTGGTGCTGCCACAGGCTGTTGGTTTACAGTCTTAACTGCAGGCTCTACCTGAACAGTACTCACAGGTTCCAGAGACTTCTCAGTATCCTGAGATGGTTTTTGAGCCAAAGTTGCAGTTTCTGTTGAAGGAAATTTCTCTGCTTCTGGTTGAATTGGTGGTGGAACTGACTGTGGCTGAATCGGTCCTGGTGGCTGAGGTGGTGGTGGGGGAGGAGGAAGATCCTTCTTTTCTGTCTTTTCAGGCTTTATAACTACTTTTTCAGTCACCTTTTCGGTCTTTTCTCCTTCTTTCTCCTTCCTCTGTTCCCGTTCCTCTTTCATATCTCTAAGTACAGGTTTTTTAATGGGACCTGATCTTCTCACAGGTCTATCATTACCTTCTTCCCTTCTGTTGGAGCTTGGTCGTGGGCCCCAACGAGTTTCTGATTTAGATTTATATACTTTTTCAGGTTTTGGTCCTTCGGAAGATCGTATAAAGCCTTCCTTTTTTGGTTTCTCCTCTGGCCTTTCTGTTGGTTCTTTTGAATCCATGCATCTGCTGGTTACTTTAGGAATGCCTGCAGATGGTTCACTTCTCTGCTCATCTGGTTTTTGCATATGGTTAGATCCATGGGAAACACTCCTTTTCCGGGAAGGCTGACTTTCTACAGCTGAAATCCGCTCCTCTTGTGGAGTGGGTAAGGTCTTTTGATCAGGTGCTTCAAAACAAGCAGATTGATTATTTGCATCAGTATGGTGAGGTCTAACATCTTCCACAGATCTGCTTAAAAACTTTTGTACTTCTGCCTCACTTGATTCTCTGACAAAGTCTGCCTTTGGATGGGCCTCTAATTGATTATGTTCTACAGAATAAGCAGCAGTAATCTGTTCCTGGTCCAACGCAGCTTCAGACCTATGATGATAAGAATTCAAAGGTATAACCAACAAAGCAATCTTCCCCACGTGAAGTATATAGCAAAATAATACCTCTAAAACAGAAAGCAAAGACTCTTAACCATAATGAGAATCTTTCTCTCGCTATATAAAAAGTTTAGAGGAGAATTACTCACAGTAGCCAAGAGGTGGAAACAGCCTAAATATCCAATAGCTGAATGGATAAAGAAAATGTGGTATACACATACAACAGAATATCATTCAGGGATAAAAAAGAAGGAAATAGCATCATATGCTACAACATGGATAAACCCTGAGGACATTATGCTTAAGTGAAGTCAGTCAGTCAGGACAAATACCTTACATGAGGAACGTGAAGCAATCAACCTCATCAAAGCAGAAACCATAATGGTGGCTGCCAGGGGCTAGGAGTAGGGAGAAATAGGAAATATAGGTATAGGTATAATATAGGAAATACAGGTAAAGGTAAAAATAGGAAATAGGTATAAAGTTTCAGTCATGCAAGATAAAAAAATGTTCTGGAGATCTGCTGTATAACATTGTGTTTACAGTTAACTACATGGTACTATATAATTAAATTTTTGTTAAGAGGATAGATCTAACGTTCTAAGTGGTTTCTACCACAAACACAAATGGGGCTGGGTGTGGTGGCTCATGCCTGTAATCCCAATCCTCACTTTGGAAGGCCGAGGTGGGCGCATCACCTGAGGTAGGGAGTTTGAGACCAGCCTGACCAACATGGAGAAACCACATCTCTACTAAAAATACACAATCAGCTGGGCGTGGTGGCACATGCCTGTAATCCCAGCTACTCAGGAGGCTGAGGCAGGAGAATCGCTTCATCCCGGGAGGCGGAGGCTGTGGTGAGCTGAGATGGCGCCATTGCACTCCAGCCTGGGCAACAAAAGTGAAACTCCGCTTCAAAAAAAAAATAAATAAATAAATAAATAAAGGGCCTGGAGTAGGGGCTCACGCCTGTAATCCTTGCACTCTGGGAGGCAGGAGGATCACTTGAGCCCAGGAGTTTGAGACCAGTCAGGGCCATATGACAAAACTCTGTCTCTATAAAAAATACAAGAATTAGCCTGGTATGGTACTACATGCCTTAGTCCCAGCTACTCAGGAGGCTGAGGTGGGAAGATCACTTGAGCCTGGGAGGTCAAGGCTGCAGTGAGCTGTGATTACATCACTGCACTCCAGCCTGGCTGACAGAGCGAGACCCTTCTCAAAAAATAAAAATAAAAAATAGAAATAAATAAATGAAGTTTATTCCTTAAGGAAAAACAAAGTTAAGACCATGCTGATGTGAATTTCTAATCTATCAAGATTAGTAATTTCCACCTAGAATGAAAGAGTACACTAGAGTAAGCTTATCTGTCCCAATTAATTACAAATAATTATAAAACATTACCAAAAAAACACACCCCATTAAAGGGCAGGAAGTTCTAACTGGATGGCTATAAATTATTACAGTCATCACCAATTGTGTGCCATTTCAAAGTCAACTTTGTATTATTATATTTCTCCTTATCTTGGCCTTAAAAATGTTCCCTAAAATACTGTTAAAATGGAAAAATTACATCTAGCTAGATTATATAAGCATTGTAGATACACTTAAATTTCTTTACACCTACTCTACAATAAAGACATCCCAAATGGCTGCACACGATGGTTCACGCCTGTAATCCCAGCACTTTGGAAGGTCAAGGCAGGCAGACTGCTTGAGCCTAGGAGTTCAAGACTAGCCTGGGCAACATGGCAAAACCCCATCTCTATAAAAAATACAAAGATTATCACAAGGTCAGGAGATCGAGACCATCCTGGTTAACATGGTGAAACCCTGTCTCTACTAAAAATAAAAAAATTAGCCGGGCGTGGTGGTGGGTGCCTGTAGTCCCAGCTACTCGGGAGGCTGAGGCAGGAGAATGGCTTGAACCTGGGAGGCGGAGCTTGCAGTGAGCTGAGATCGCACCACTGCACTCCAGCCTGGGAGACAGAGCAAGACTCTGTCTCAAAACAAAAAACAAACAAACAAAAACAAAGATTAGCACGGTGTGGTGGTGTACGCGTATAGTCCCAGCTACTCAGGAAGCTGAGGTGAGCTGATCACTTGAGCCTGGGAGGTGAAGGCTGCAGTGAGCCGAGATCACACCACCGCACTCCAGCCTGAGAAACAGAGCAAGTTCCTATCTCAAAAAAGAACCTACCAATTTCAACATCTAATACTAAATTACAGCATACAATTGAGTACAAAACCAGGTTACAAAATGCCCTAATGAATACAGAGAATATGTCCAAAGAGTAAGTGTAGTATGCTAAATTAAATAGAAGGAAACCAGATTTATGCTTCAGTCCTAAATTGGAATGATCTTCAGAAACACTATACAGTTTTCCTTTTACCAAAATATTCTGTATAGTCTATTAAATTGAAATAATTTATTACCTTACATCCTCAGGCTCTTCTGTTGCTTTGGGAGTAGTTGCTTGTTGAGGCTCAGCATGAGGATAGGGATCTGACCCCCACAGCATACGAGGCTCAGAAAGAGAAATTGCATGATCTCTTGCAGATCGAGCTATATGCTCAAATGACTCAGAACTGTTTGGTGACCCTTCCATCTGGTCTCTTCTCATTAACGGTTTAGGAGGAATCATTCCTGTAACGAAAGTTGAGAAAAAGGTGAAATGAGGCTTTTGAAAAATGAAAGAAACAAAATCATGATAGACATATAATACAGATTACTAATTGTTACATGGAATTCTCCATATTAAAAGCATTTTTTTCCTGAGTAAAAGATTGGTGGAAATTATGTAAGGGTTGTTCTGTGAATGAAATTTTATCACTGCTGTTAAATAAAAATTGCATTTAAGAACCGAGGAAGCAAAATCAGCAAAATCACAATAGCGGCCTGTTTCACTTCAAAAGAAATAAAATATTATGCATATAAAAATCAGACACCAAGTACTGTGACTCTGGATGTCAATACAAACATCATGAAAATTATATCATAACTTCCAGAGAAAATTCTTTCCTAAATTCCATTAACCTACCTTAGTTGGTCAATATTCTACAAAATATGCCACTTAAATTTCCAAATACCAGTATAAATTTAAAAATCTTGATTTGTGATCAGCTTATCATCCCTAAATTTTCCTCTGTAACATTTTGGTAATAGATTATCTAGATTTATTCTGATGGATTCCATAAAAGACTACTAAATTCACTTTTTTTTCCCCTCTAACCTATAAGGAAATGCAAGTGTTAGGTTGGTAAATGATGGAAGAGGAACTTGAAAAAGAACAGATCATAATGTATGGACAAAATTCAAATGCCGAAAACACTTTAAAGAATAAAAACAATGTAGCCAATAACAGATACTGTTAATAAGATATAATTATTTCCATCTGAAGTTTTAAATAATACTCACAAAACAGAAATGAAGTAGTATTTTGTTCTTGCCACATAAGCAATATGAGTGTCAGATATTTAATTACTTGATGCTGAAAGTTACATAATTTTGATTAAAAATCTAGAGGTTTAAGTTTTTCCTAGATTACAACTCTCAAAGGAACTGAAACTCAAAGCAGGGAAAAAAGAATTTTGATCCTGTAAAACTATAAATGCAAATTCAACTGACCAGGATGAATGGGTGGAATATCCATAGCAGGTCTGCCTGACATCATTCGAGGATCCATGTAGGACTGCATCATGAGCCACCTTGGATCAAAACCCATAGAAGCCAAATGCTGAGGATGAGGCTGCATAGGCTGATAAAGAGGTCTGTGTGGTGGAGGAGGGACAGAACTACTGGATGGTTGTGAAGGAACAGTCTGTGGAAGTACACCTTGCTGTTGCTGCTGCTGCCACTGCTGCTGTTTCATCTGTTCCTGAAAAAGTAAGATCCCATATCTTGAGATTTGAGTTCCACATGACAAATTAATATAATCAATCATATCACAAAATAATCACTTGTTTTGAATCCTTGAAGGAAAAGTAAGAGTTCAAAAGATATTTAACAGTTAGAGTTGGCAAGACAAAAGACTGAAAGATGAACTGTAACATTTTACCTTATACTCAAGCACTGTATAATCTATCTCCTAGAAATGGAAGATGGTGTCTATAAATGAGGCAGAAGATCAAAAAGAATGACACAGAAGGTCAAGGTAAAACCCACATTAACTTTTATTTACAAAGAAAAATAATTTCAAGGGAACTTTGTGTGCTTTATGCATTATAAGTTTTATGTCTAATTTCCCAGATTATTGCATAATAACCATTTCAATCAGACATACATGATAAAATATTTTTATCATTACCTGCTGCCGCTGGAATCGTGGAGGTAAAGACTTCTGAAACTGTTTGAAATAGCCAGATAATACAGCCGGCCGAGGCTGAGACCCTGATTCTGGTTCTGTTTCATGAACCACTGGTGTGGCTTCCTTTTCACTGCGATTGCTGTCTTGTCTAGTGAAAACGGGTTCCTCCTCTGCTCAAAGAAAAGGTGAAAGGTATTCATCTATGACACTTATCAAACACATGCTTTTTACACAGACTGAGGTATAATAAAAGTTAATGAGGAAGAAAATATCCTCCACACCCTAAAACATTATTTTCTGCTTTAACATTGGTAGTTATCAATGAGGTAACATTAGATTATCAAAACCTTAGATTTCCTAAAAGCTGCATTCTTAGAGATGGAGAGCAGAGATCCAAATGCTTCATCATACAAAATCTATGTTTGATTTTTTTTAAAATAATGAAACATTTCCAACTCTACCTATTTTTTTTGTTTCAATAAACATCAATGTAATTGTCAGTATTTACTGGTAGTTCATTAAAATCTACATGAAAATACAAATGGCCTACAAACACTTAAAAAGAGAGCATGTTGGTTTATTTAGTTATTTATTAGATAAAGGGACTATAATCTATAAGGAAGACTAATGAGTTTAGTTACTTATTGGATAAAGGGACTATTATCTATAAGGAAAACTAATGAGTTTAAGTCTGAAGACAACAGAGTGATCACCAGTTATCTTCAAACATAATTCATTCTAGAATGTCATTTGTCACAATTACAAAGCCATGCTTATTACAATTCTTTTCTCAAATGACTAGTAATGAATTTAAAATGGAAGATTATCTCCCAATGTAAAAGCATGCTGTTAAGAATCACAAATAACATTTTTATTGCTTGGATTACATTCAATATTAAGAATGTTGTAAAAGAGTGAGCAGGTCATGGTGGTGCACGACTGTAATAACAGTTACTCAGGAGGCTGAGGTGAGAGGGTCACTTGAGCCTGGGAATTTGAGACCAGTCTGGGCAACACAGCAAAAAAAAAAAAAAAAGAATGTTGAAAGGGAAAATAATACACTGGAAGAAGAAGAGCTACATAGGCACTAACTTTAAAATCACATGTGCCTTGAGAACATCTCAGAGAGCATTAAAACAAACAAAAAAATTGTATGTGTCTAGTATCAGAATTGAGGGGGAAAAAAAATCACATGGGTATATCTCACTGTTAAACCAAGCTAAAATTAGCTTGCCATGAGAATATATAAAATGTGAATGAAAATAAAAGCACAAATAAAACTTATTAAACTATGATAATGTTTTCCTTTCTCTTGTGAACACTTTATTTCACTATTTTGGTGTTACGAGCAATCTTCATAAGTACTTATGTAATATAAGCCCACTATCAATAGCACAGTTTCTCTAGATTGATTACTACGAAAAAAATCTGAAATCTTAGAGTCTTAACAAATGATCCATGAAGGCCTTTTTGGCCTTTATGGCCTTTATTTCATATGGCCTTTATTTCATTAAAAAAAATTAAAGATAAAATACTCATACTCTTACGGTTACATTAAGAGCCAAGTTTGAAGGTAACCCTGCATATAAATAAAAACTTTATTTTTAAAAACACATTCTTATTATTTTAAGCAGCAGTGCCTTGTAGAAAAGAGCATGAGAGGTCAGGTTAGAAAACTTACAATATTTCCACATCAGAAAATACACTGAAATAAAACTGCATTTCTATTTTAATTCAAGTCGTTCATTAAAACTAAACTTTAGGCCAGACGCGGTGGCTCACGTCTATAATCCCAGTAGTTTGAGAGGCCGAGGCAGGCGGATCACAAGGTCAAGAGATCGGGACTATTCTGGCTAACATGGTGAAACCCCGTCCCTACTAAAAATACAAAAATTAGCTGGTTGCAGTGAAACGCGCCTGTAGTCCCAGCTACTCGGGAGGCTGGGGCAGGAGAATGGCTTGAACCCGGGAGGCAGAGTTTGCAGTGAGCTGAAATTCCACCATTGCACTCCAGCCTGGAGACAGAGTGAGACTCTGTCTCAAAAAACAACAACAAAAAACCCTGAACTTTAACTTTGCCAAGACTTTATACTATATTAGAATGCCATTAATCAGTCTACAAGCCAACTTGGAGAAGAACAAAAAAGTTGATTAGATCTAGGAAAAGAATTTTATTTTAAAGTATAATTACTCTAGGAAACTACAGTTTAATAGCATATCAACTACACCATGGAAGCTTGCATGTTTAAACTGATTAAACAGCAAACCTGAAATTATGAGCTAGGTGCAGTCATTTAATGATGATAATCCAACATTCTCATTAAGCTCTATGCCAGTTCAGTTTTAGAGGTATTCATGCATGTGAACAAATGAGATTTTGTTTAGTTAAATGTCTTGGAGTCAGAAAAAAGCAGGGGGAGAATCATTACATGTGACTAGGGAGTCAATACAATTCTGCAGATAACACAGAAATGAAGCCCATCTAATAACTGAGAAACACTTCAGGGATGTCTGTTCATATACAGAATTAGAAAACATGGCTCTAGCCCATATTTTGTACTGGAAATGCTATCATAAAACAATCATTTTTATTTTTATGACATATATTTAAAATATACAACCCCCAAACTGTAACCAACAAAAAGCTCTTTGTAAAGTTTATGTAAGAGAATGAAGAAGACTATCAAACCTTTATTACAGTTGTTTTCACTTTCTTGTTTTTCTACCATGGGCTCCAAATTAGGTTCTCTGGGTTCAATTTTCTCCTCTAATTTCTCCCTTTCCTTCTCCAGCTCACATTCCTTTTCTTGTTCTTTCATCTTTTGTAGTTCTTTTTCCTTTTCTTTCTGCCGTTCTAGTTCTTTTTCTTTTTCTTGCTTTCTTTCTTTCTCCATTTCTCTTTGTTTTTCCTGCTCCTTCTCCAGCTCTTTCTCCTTTTCCTGCTGTCTCTCCCTCTCTTTTTCCCTCTCCTTCTCTCGTTCCTGTTCTTGTTCTTTTTCAAGTTCTTTCTCACGCTCCCGTTCTTTTTCTCGCTCCCTTTCCCTAATTTCCTCTGGAGATGGTTGTTTTTCCAGGATGCCAAGCTTCTCATCCAATCGTTTCAGTTTCTCTGCACAAGCCGCCTTCCTTTGTTCTTCCATTCTTCGCTCTTCCTCTTCACGCCGTTTACGAGCACGTTCTACTGCTGCAGAAATTTCTGACTGTTGTCTTCGTCTTTGCTTCCATATTTCATCTTCATCAGCTACTTGCTGCTTGGAGGGAAAGGGGCCCGGTCTTCCAGGTACTGCCTGTCGATCTGGAGGTGGATGCTGAAACATTAAGGTATCAGATGAGTATGACAACTCTATTTCTGACTAACATTGGGTATCAGGCATGGAGAAGGAAAAACCCCACAAAAGTATCAGAAATTTCTCTGATGAACATACACATTAAAATGAAAACACATAAGATGGGAAATATATTACATCTAGATAATGCACCAAACTAAGACCAGATTAATCCAGCTCTCCAATGTTTACTGAGTATGTACCTATTTATTGTGCCAGACATTGTTGCTCATTCAGTATTTGTTGAATAAAATTAGAAGCACAACAGTGAATCTCAAAATCTAGTTAGAGACAAAGGAAATTTAGCATGAATGCTTTAGAAGCAGCTGCCACAGCTGGAATGCCTGAGAGAGAGAAATGAAGGTATTAAATATCCAAAATGATGGCATGTTAGCTCTGAGAAAATTAAGGTACAGCTACAGGTAAAAAGCACAGAGCCAAAGAAGCAAGCTGAAAAAGAGAGAGACAGTGCTGTAATGATACCCCAAAGAAGAAATTCCTACAAATTAGTCTGGGTGAAGAAAAGTTCTATCTTTAGACTGAAAGATCCAGAAAAGCTATCTAGAACCCGGAGTGGAGAATGGGAGGATCATCTGAAAGATCCAAGTTTCAATGACTGAATTTTCATTAATGTGTTATAAAACAATGACAGCTTTTAAAATCACTGCTTGCAACAATGCAAAAACAATAAAAGTAACAAAAAAATTTCTTTAACATACTGATTTTAAAAGCTACTAGGGTGAAGAAATCTTAAAAGCCGTATGTAACCCAGCTGGAATGCTTACAAAAAGATTAAACAATGATACAACGAAAACACTTGACTGAACGTCTTTTTAAATGAATGCAGACTACCATGTACTAATAGTGCTATCATATGCAAACTACTTCAGCTCTCTGGTGCTGAGTTTCTTCATCCACAGCTCAGAGATAAGCTGAAAAACCAAATATATAAGTACCTAATTTACACAATTCACTTCAGAGAAGTAAAATTTACTTAAAATGTGCTGCACATATTTTAAGTGTATAGCTTGATGAGTTTGGACAAATGATACACCTGTGTAACCACTGCTCCAATGCAGACACAGCATTTCCATCACTCCTCTTCCTCCCCCTGTGGCCCCAAGCACCCCGACCCTAACCTTGTATAGTTTTGTTTGTCCTTTCTTTCGTCTTTTATACAAACTTCTTTTGCTAAGTATAGTGGCACTGAGGTTATTTTATGTATGAGTAGCTTGCTCCATTTTACTGCTGGATAGTATTCCATTGTGGGCATGCTGTTTCATGTATGATAGACATGTGGGTTGCTTCCAGTTTTTAAACTATGAATAAAACAGCTATGAACATTCATGCATAAGTCTTTGCATAAATGAACGTTTTCATGGCTGTTGGATAAACAGCTAGAAGTGGAAATCCTGTGTCATATGGTAAATATATTTTTCATTTACAAGAAACTGCCAAACTGTTTTCCAAAGTGGTTATAAGGTTTTCCAATGGATAAGGTTGCCAGCTGCTCTGTACATCCTTGCCAACACATGGTGTCATCAGTCTTTAATTTTGGCAGTGTAGTAAAATCTCAGTGATTTTAACTTGCATTTCCCTAATAACTAAAGATACTGAGTAATTTTCCATGTGCATACTGGGCATTCTTACATTTTCTTTTCAGAAACAAATGTTCAAGTCTTTTGTTTAACTACTTATTATTGAGTTGTAAGATATTAAAAAAAACAAAAACAAAAACAAAAACGGCCCAGGCTGGACATGGTGGCTCACATCTGTAATCCCAGCACTTCGGGAGGCCAAAGCAGGAGGACTGCTTGAGCTCAGGAGTTCAAGACTAGCCTGGGCAACACGGCGAAACCCAATCTCTACAAAAAGATAAAAAATTAGCCAGGCATAGAGGCGCATGCCTGTGGTACCAGCTACTTGGTAGGCTGAGGCAGGAGGATCGCTTGAGCCCAGGAGGTTTAGGCTACAACGAGCTGAGATTGTGTTCCAGCCTGGGGAACAGAACACGACCCTGCTGCAAAAAAAAAAAAAGAAAAGCTTAGATACAAGTCCTTCGTCAGATGTATTAGGAAGATTTTTTTCTGCAACATATCTTTGCATTCTTTGGGAAATGTTCTTCAAAGTCCAACTGACCAATTGTTTTTCCTTTCTAATTCATGGCCAAGGTCTTATTTATCAAAGAAAACTTTGTCAGCTCCAAGTTCATGAACACTTGATCTTCTATACTTTTTTCTACATGTTTTAGTTTTAGCTTCTGTGTATGCACAAATGCTATAAAGAGCTTTCAGTGGTTATGAGGAGAGGGACTGCTGGAAATGATGGTGATGGTTGTGATACGTGCAGATATCCCAGTAGGGTGATTAGAGAAGGTCTGGAGATCCTGATCATAACAAGGATTTCAGGAAAAGAAAATCTGCTTGTAAGAAAGAACAAGTAAAGAAGTCAGGAAGAGCAATGTGTATGTGGTGAGAACAGCAGATGAAATTAGAAAAGTAGACAGAGATCTGAAAGATCATGAGAAGGACCTGAACAAGGAGTAATGGACCTAATACATAGTTTTAAAAAGACAACAACTACTACAGGAGAATATGGGATGAAGGTGGCAAGTGAGCAGGCAGCATAAGAGGCAAGCAGTATCTGTCAAGAACCCACTCCAATAGTTCAAAGGAAAGTAAGAGGTGGTAGCAAGCAGTCAGTGTATATTTTGAAGGTAGAGGTGACATTTTGCTGATAAAGCTAGATGTAGGGTAAAAAAAGAGTTAAGAGTAACTTCTAAGTTTCAGCCTTAGCAAATATGTGAATAATAATGCCATTACCTGCAACATGAAAGACAGGAGAAGCAGCACTGTGGATACGTAGGGTAAGTGGGGGTGTGTGTTATGGTTTGGACATATTTGAGCTGTTTACTAGAGATCCAAGTGGAGATGTTGAGTTGATTGTTGAATATATGACTCTTAAAAAGTCAGGGCAAAGCTTTTTGGCCTAAATGTACATTTGAATGCCATCAGCTCATAGAAGACATTCCCAAGGAAAAGGATACAGATTTTTAAAACAGACTGAGAACAAGACTTAGTTCTCCAACACTCGAAGTGTAGGAGGCCCAGAAGGAATACAAAGCAAAGAAAAACAAAATAGTGAGGTGTCACAGATGCAAGTAGGAAAAAAAGTGTTTTAAGGATAGGCCAGGGATGGTGGCTCAAGTCTGTAATTCCAGCACTTTGGGAGGTCAAGGTGGATGGCTTGAGTCTAGGAGTTCGAGACCAGCCTGGACATGAAGGCGAGACCCTGTCTCTGCAAAAAATTAGCCCAGTGTGGTGGTGTGCACCTGTAGCCCCAGCTGCTGGGGAGGTGAGAGGACCCCCTTGAGCCCAGGAGTCCAGGTGGCAGTGAGCTATGATTACACCACTGCACTCCAGCCTGGGCCAGAAAGCAAGAGCCTGTCTCTAAAAATATATGCATATACACAAGAGGGATGGAGTAATCAACTATGTCAATGACTCAGCTGAGATTTAAATGAGATGAAGACAAAAAAACTGAATTTGTCAAGATGGAAGTCATCATTGACTCTGATAATAATAGTTTCAAAGGTAGACTGGGAAAAGAAAGCATGCCTGGAGAGTGCTAATGAAAGAATGAGCAGCAAAAGACGGTAAGTATAAATAGCTCACTAAAACAATTTCACTGATGGAGAACAGAGAAATAGGGTAGACACTGCAATGGGATGGAAGGTAGTGGGATGGAGTAATGTTAACAGAGAGGTCTTTGTGAAGTTGTTTTTCTGAAAAGATGAGAGATAACATTATCAAAAGTAGAAAAGGATACAAGGAACAAAGTAAAAAAGTGTCCTTAGCAGCAAAAACAATAGGAAGAAAAAGTATACAGTGAAATGGGAAAAAAAAAAAGTTATCTCCCAGGTACTTCTTATTTTCTTAGTGAAACTTGGAGCATGCTTATCAACTGAGAATGAAAATGAAAAGGAAGAAGAGTAAGACATGTAAGAGTCACAAGGTAAAAAGTTAGTAACTGTTTCATAAAAGTTTTAAATAAAAAATTTGGTGTCTTTCCACCAAAACAAAACAAAAGGTCAAATAAAACATATAATCCATAAACAAGCATTTAGTTAAAATTTACCTGCTGTGCAAGCAACTTTGGAGGTGGTGGCAGATGTGAAGACGTTCCACGTTCCTATTATAAAGAAGAAAGAATTACTGTTATTATTTTGGAGACAGTCTTGCTCTGTCGCCCATGCTGGAATGCAGTGGCATGATCTTGGCTTACTGCAACCTCTGTCTCCCAGCGCCAAGCAATTCTCATGCCTCAGCCTGCTAAATACCTGGGATTACAGGTGTGTGCCAACACGACCGGGGAATTTTGCATTTTTAGTAGAGACAGGGTTTTGCCGTGTTAGCCAGGCTGGTCTCGAACTCCTGACCTCAAATGATCTGCCTGCCTCAGCCTCCCAAAGTGCTGGGATTACAGGTGTGAGCCACTGCACCAGCCTGAAAGAATTACTTAAAAATAAACATATAAAAAAAACCATATCGGCCAGGTGCGGTGATTCACGCCTGTAATCCCAGCACTTTGGGAAGTCAAGGTAGGCGGATCGCCTGAGGTCAGGAGTTCAAGACCAGCCTGGCCAACATGGCAAAACCCTATCTCTACTAAAAATACACACATTAGCCAGGTGTGGTGGCGGGCGCCTGTAATCCCAGCTACTCTGGAGGCTGAGACAGGAGAATTGCTTGAACCTGAGAGGTGGAGGTTGCAGTGAGCAAAGATCGTGCCACTGCACTCCAGCCTGGGTGACAGAGCAAGACTCCGTCTCAAAAAAGCAAAGAAAAAGGAAAAATATATCTATTAGAAATATTTCAGCAGGGCGTGGTAGGTCACGCCTGTAAGCCTAGCACTCTGGGAGGCCAAGGCGGGTGGATCACAAGGTCAGGAGTTAGACACCAGCCTGGCCAACATGGTGAAACCCACCTCTACTAAAAACACAAAAATTAGCCGGGCATGGTGGTGGGCGCCTGTAATCTCAGCTACTTGGAAGGCTGAGGCAGAAGAATTGCTTGAACCTGAAAGGCAGAGGTTGCAGTGAGCCAAGATCATGTCACTGCATTACAGCCTGGGAGTCAGATCAAGACTCCATCTCAAAAAAAAAAAAAAGAAATATTTCTCAATGTACTGATTTTCTCAATATCACAAGATTCCTAAACATCTTTCTCCTTCTCTATTTTTAAATAAAAGCATATCACTCATTACAAGATTACTTTTTATGGAATCACTCTGCTATTTCAACAAGGTTAGAATCTCAAATGCACTTTACAACAAAAATTTTAGCCAGGCGTGGTGGCTCACACCTGTAATCCCAGCACTTTCGAAGGCTGAGGCCGGTGGGTCATTTGAGGCCAGGAGTTCAAAATCAGCCTGGCCAACGTGGTGAAACCTCTTCCCTACTAAAAATACAAAAATTAGCCGGGTGTGGGGGCACACCCCTGTAGTCCCAGCTAGTCGGGAGGCTGAGGCACAAGAATCTCTTGAGCCCACGAGGTGGAGGTTGCAGTGAGCCAAGATCGCACAACTCCACTCCAGCCTGGGTGAAACAGCAAGGCTCTGTCTCAAGAGGGAAAAAAAGAATTTTTGTCTAACTGTTCTGGAATTCTGATCCAGAAAATCTGACTAGGGAGAGCTATACCTCTAATTACTAAATTTTATTTATGTAAGCTCAATTCATTTCTAGTGGCAAACTAAAAATATGAGATCTTAAAATCTAAAACATAATGGAACAAAATATATGAAACATTCACTTTCTAATATACATACCACTGTCACAAAAAAAGTCAAAGACATATTCCATCTATTCCTCTATTCTTTCACGAAAAATTCTCATTCCCCATTATGCCAATAAGTAAAAAGTCACACAAAAAATTTTATTAACATGTTATTTTAAACATTATTCTTTTTCAGGGTTCATAAATTTATTCTTCAATGGATCATCAATGCCTTAAGATTAAAACCATTGTAGAGCATACATTTTTAAGAAGTGGTTCTTATATAGTCTACCTCTCTCCCATATCAAACTACTTAGAATTTCTTGAATGTGCCATGTTTTCTCATACTTCTCTACATGTGTTTCCACTGCTTATAATAGCTATATTCCCTTTGTATACTGGCTAAATCATGCTTAAGAATTAGCTCAAGTACTTAGTCTTCTGCAGCTTTCTACCTTAAATGAATTCTCAAAGAATTTATTTTGTACCCTCTATGATTATGCTACTTAGTCACACTTCTTACTGACTTTTTTTCCTGTCAAAGAAACTGTTAGCTACCTCCTTTCAGCCCTCAGAAGGGACAAGTTCCTCCATCTATTTTGTATGAATCCAACAAATACATGCTAATTATACTGATTCCTTAATAAAGAGATAAGCGGACTCCCTTGAAAGTAGACCTTTTTATTCCCAGTTTATAATGCATCTTTTGCAACCGTTTACCATCTCAGAAGTAGGTTCAAATATCTGTTGCACACACATTTCCCTTCATTCACAATGTTCTTCAAAATGATTCAGACTTTAGATGTCCCTACACACTATGTGATTTCCCTACAGGTAGTGTACCATTCACACAAAAAGAATGACTAGTATTTAAGTATTCAATAAACCGTAAAGCACTTCAGCAATGCTTATTTTATTTTAGAAAAATGTCATCCCTACACTTTGCTATGACTGAGCTGTATCATAAGGTGAAAAGGGTGAAGTTTTAGTTTTACTTGATAATTTTAGCTACTCTACTGATAATTCCGGTTAAATGCAATAAAAATTATGATAGATTCAAGACTATTCAAGAAAAAATACACAGTTCCCTTTTCCTAAGTCCCATTCCACTCAGTGATAAGACTAATTCAAGATAATCCTTGAAATAACAGGGATCTCCATGAGTCCAACAAACCTGATTAAATGAAGGTCCTTTCCCAAAGGGAACTTTTGCTACTGATGGTTGGGCAGGTATTTGAGAAGATGATTTAGCATTGGAAACTTCATCTGCTTCTTTTTCGTTTCCATTGTTTTCAGAGGCTTTCGAACCTTGATCCTCACTGAAAAATCAAAATGCAGAAGAAATAAAGTGGACCAACTGTATCATAAGTACATACATTTTTTTTGGCAATTAAAAAAAATTATTTCGGTATGGTTTCCGGGGGGGAATGTATTAAGGAATGAGATGCGTATGTGACCTACTAGTGCTAATTTCTTCTTTCAATAAATATATACTATGAAAGTGCAATACAGTAGTTGTCAAATCTAAACACACACGTCAGGCATATATCCTGGCCAAAGAATATAATCACATAATTTCCTATCTCCTCTATGTAAGAAATATAATCCAAATATAACTGGGTAATATTGGAATTATTATTTAACTGCATTCTAATTTATTCGGATTTAATAAAAAGATAAACTACAGTATTTTTTCAAAGCCACAGCAAATCACAGGTATCTCTTACACGATCATAAAACAATTGTTTGTCACAATGCCATAACTGAAAAATTATGTCAAATGTGCTTACAAACTTCCATATATTTTAAAAGCCCAACATTTATGATATATAACCCATATATTCCTGACTGGTGCTCCAATATTCCAGAATGAAGGAAAAAGAAACAAAAAACTCCCCATTTTCTAAGGCCCTAATGCAGTTTACTAAGTTTTAGGAAATCGAGGACCTGAAGCAGCTGTAGTTACCCAGGGAATTATTCTCCAATTTTATAAATATGGATCAGGCCAAGCAAGTAACAGTTTAAAATTGTTCCTAATACCAATTCTCAAAAGATCTCCAAACTAGGTGCCAAATACCTAAATATCTTTTTTTGAGATACAGTCTTGCTCTGTCACCCAGACTGGAGTGCAGTGGCATGATCTCAGCTCAATGCAACCTCCGCCTCCCAGATTCAAGCGGTTCTCCTGCCTCAGCCTCCTGAGTAGCTGGGATTATAGGCATGTGTCACCACACCTGGATAATTTTTGTATTTTTAGTAGAGACAGGGTTTCACCATGTTGGCCAAGCTGGTCTTGAGCTCCTGACCTCAAGTGATCTGCCTGCCTCGGACTCCCAAAGTGCTGGGATTACAGACATGAGCCACTGCATCCGGCCCTAAAAGTTTTTAAATCAACTTTCTTGAGACGCAACACATTTTAATTAACGGATTAGCTGTATACTGTATTAATCTAGCTCATTAATCACCTTCTATTTAGTAAAACTTCTGAGAATATATAAATTCTACAAATAACAATTGTCTATTAATAAAGCCTCTCTGCATAAGTAGTTAATATTGTATCAACAAATTTCATACTGTTACTAGTAAAACATACCACAACTTACCTGTTATTCTCTTTAGGACTGTTACTTCCTTGTTCATCATCATCACTGAAATTCAGTTGCTCTGTATAATCTACTTCCATCTGAGCACCTATTAAATTAAGGAAAACTCAGACTGGCTGCTTGAAAGCATCTAACAATTTAAAGCACTTAATTAATTTTGCCTCTTACCTGCCCAACCCTCATCAGCTTCAGCATCTAGGTTATCAAATTTATCAAGCTCCTTCAGTTCTGATGCACTAAGAATGGATGGGCGTTCAGGCTCTGAGGCCCATGAAGGAGGTGGGCCTCTTCCTCGGAGGCCTCTAATGAAAGGCAGGTCATGGAAAAGACACAAAAGTTTATGATACTAAATTGGGAGAACACTAAAAGATTGGAATTTAGTTCATTTCGACATTAGTGTTTTCTACACCAAGATATATAATATGATCTGCATTGACATGTATGAAAAAATTAATATTAATACGTAATTATAGGATAATACGTAACTCTTAAGTAACAGCTGACACAGTTTTAAAGAATTCTCAAACATTTAAGATAAAACAAATATATGCTAAAGGATAACAATATGAATAAAACTAACTTCAAAACACATAATTTAGAGGAAAATAATTCAAGAGGATGATCAAGTCTCACATAATAAGCAAAAAAAAAAAAAAAAAGGGGGGAGTCCATAACATGAAAGGAAGAGGAGAAAAACAAGTGTCATCAATTTTAGGACCATGGTTTTCAGTTTTCTTTTTTTTCGAGACGGAGTCTCGCTCTGTTGCCTAGGCCAGAGTGCAGTGGCACAATCTCAGTTCACTGCAACCTCCGCCTGCCAGGTTCAAGCAATTCTCCTGCCTCAGCCTCCCGAGTAGCTGGGATTACAGGTGCACACCACCATGTCCGGCCAATTTTTTGTATTTTTTTTTAGTAGAAACAGCATTTCACCATGCTGGCCAGGCTGGCCTTGAACTCCTGACCTCCTGTGATCCACCCACCTTGGCCTCCCAAAGGGCTGGGATTACAGGGTTGAGCCACTGTGCCTGGCCTGGTTTTCAGTTTTCAAAATCCTATGTAAATTAATTTAAATGTTTAAAAGAATGAATTATATCTGGTCTGTCTTATAAGAGTTAGCCAATTATTTATTAATGACAACTGTACTGTGAGGACAGGAAAACGATCAATTACACAACTCAAAATCACACAATCCACTCTACCTTTAGGAAATCTTAACAAGCATATACATATTCCTTACAGACTTTAATCATTTAATAGCCTTACTTGTTTCCTTCAGATAAAGAAGGTGGGAATCTCATGGGACCATGTAGAGGAGGATATGTCATCCTTGGATACTGCTGAAACATCTGAATGAAGGAAACAAAAAATTTTGATAAATTTAGCAACCCAGTTATTTAAAAAAATTATATATATATACACACACACACACACACACATAAATACATAAAAATCTGAGCCTAGGCCTGAAGTTATAATTTATAGAAACAATGATTAAAATGAATAAAACTATTAATGACTGTTACCTGCTAGCATAGATAATCATTCATCCTCAATAGTAACCCATTTCCAAGGCCATTGCCTCTACCAACTCTTTACAAATAGAGTAACTAGAGCACATCATATGAAAGACTTCTGCATTATATTGATAAAATTACATTAAATTGTATTAACAAGGTATGTACACATTAAAGTAACTGTATCGAGATACGTAATGTAAAATTGCATTAAAGTAACTGTATCAATAAGATATAAATTAAAGTAACTGCATCAACAGGATATATACACACATGTACCCCAGCAAACAGCAAAGTGAAAATATTCGAAAAGCAGATGCTGTAGGCCTTCCTCCACAAGCAGGAGTAGAATAATTAGAGGCAGATTTGTGGATAAGGAGGATAACATCAGACCCCAGCCCCAGCACCTCAAAAAGAAAAAAGTAGGGGTAGCAGGGGTAGGGAAGAACTCAGTTCAGATAAAATTAAGGGACAGTCCACAATCCAAGGAACTGAGTTGGAAAAGGGGGACAGAGAGCTACCCAAAAATTTTCTACGGATATGGCATAGGTGAATTCTCAATCAAATTACTGCACAAATGATCATTATAAACAGTCCCAAACAGGTCCAGATACTATTCTCTGTAGGAACTTGGCTCTGGGAAACTAAACTTAAGAGAAGACATAAGATAGATTCTGAGAACAAATAACACCAAGGGATTCATCCTATGATTTTGAAGGGAGGAAGTGTCAAAGAATAGCTTGGTCATTTACTATTTGCTTATATCCAAGTAAAATTATGTAAATAATATGAAATTATATTACTGTAAAAACACAATTTATATCCTAAAATAGAAGACTAGTTTTTCTAAAAAGAAAGTAGTAACTATGTGTTAGATAAGAAAATTACCTTACATTTGAAGCAAGGATGTTTATATGATTATGCTGTCTAAAGATGAAAATTCTGGGCCAGGTGCAGCGGCTCACACCTGCAATCCCAGCACTTTGGGAGGCTGAGGTGGGTGGATCACTAGGTCAGGAGATGGAGACCATCCTGGCTAACATGGTGAAACCCTGTCTCTACTAAAAATACAAAAAAACTAGCTGGGTGTGGTGGGTGCGCCTGTAATCCCAGTTACTCAGGACGCTGAGACACGAGAATCACTTGACCCCAGGAGGCAGAGGTTGCAGTGAGCTGAGATAGCACCACTGCACTCCAGCCTGGCGCCAGAGTGAGACTTCGTCTTTTAAAAAAAAAAAAAAAAAAAAAAAAAAGAAAGAACAAGAAGAAGAAGAAAAAGAAGAAATTTCTCTTAAGTCAGTAGAAGCAATGTTAATTAAGCCCAGCAACAGCTGAAACTCAGCTGGGGAAACTTTGAGGGATACTCTGGAGAATTTTCAGTAGCATCACACTTCTATACTGAAGTTAATAAAGACACTACTGGAGGCATATGGTCATAGCTAAAGCTGCATTAAATCCTTCATCTGGTCATTCCAGGCATAATTTCATGTGGTCTTAAATGCTTAAAGTCTAGGAATTTGCCAGAAAATTCATTATAGAAACAAATTTTAAATTCTCAGTATATAGTAGTGATATTTAAATGTTGTTGTTAATTAGCGGAACACATTATTCAAATATAATCGCTGATGAAAGTGGGAATGATGCCCACTTGGTCTCCCCTCTTTCCTATCCTACCCTCTCACTTGAAAGTTCAGGGATCTTTGGTAGCACAAATTGAAAATGATTAGAAAAAAAGGAATTTTTTTTCCTACCCATTTCCAATGGGTATAAATCATTTTTCAAGGCCAGGTCAGCATACTCCTAAACTTCTTTTAGGAAAACATTTAACGGTCAGGCACAGTGGTTGACACCTGTAATCCCAGCACTTTGGGAAGCCAAGGAGGATAGATCACCTGAAGTCAGGAGATCAAGACTAGCCCAGCTAACATGGTGACACCCTGTCTCTACTAAAAATACAAAAATTAGCTGGGTGTGGTGGCGTGCCCCTGTAATCCCAGCCACTTGGAAGGTTGAGGCAGGAGAATCACTTGAACCTGGGAGGTGGAGGCTGCAGTGAGTGGAGATGGTGCCACTGCACTCTAGCCTGGGCATCAGAGCAAAAAACATTTAACAAGTAATTGTACTTAATCATTCATTTCCCTCTGTTAGTCTAGAATGATTAAAAATAGTAATGTATATGCTCACTTTGGCAGCAAAATTGGAAGAATATAGAGAAGATCAGCACAGTCCCTGCATAAAAATAGCATGCAAATTTATGAAGCATTCCATATTTTAAAATAACACCACCAATATGAAGGAATGGAAAGTATGATGGATATTTAGGATTCAAATATTAGAAATTAAACAAACTAAATAAATATGACCTAGATTTTTGTTTCCTATAAGAGTAATGAGTCTCCTGGAAAAGTAAATGTATGTATCCAGGCACATGTGACTTGCTTTACAACTTTACATTGGGCTGACAGTAAACAAAGAATGAGGACACCAAATCTAACTAATAATTTAGAAAATGTGGCAGGAGGGTAGGGGTGCGTGTAAGAGTATGTATTAAATGAAACTAAAGATAGAATCAACAAAATCCAAAATCTGAGGAACTTTATAGGTTAACAAATTAAAACAGATAAGCACCAAAGGAAACAGGAGATGGAGATACCTGTAGGTAACAAGATTCTTAAAAGAAATATGAACCAATCTCAAGGAATGGATGTTGCCTGGATCCTAATTATGAGACAATTACTGGGACACTAACATAATATTCGAGAATAAGAAGGAATTAGTTTTCTTTTAAGGTATGATAACAGCATTGCAAACTTTCTCCCCAAGTCTTTATCCTTTAAAATAGAAATATTTACTGATGAAATATTTAATATTTACTAAATATTTAATATTTACTAAAATAGAAATATCTTGGATTTGCTTTCGTAATCCAAAGTGGTAGGAAAAGAGCAGGCATGGTGACTCACACCTGTAATCCCAGCACTTCGGGAGGCTGAGGTGGGTGGATCACTTGAGGTTAGGAGTTCAAGACCAGCCTTGCCAACATGGCAAAATTGTCTCTACTAAAAATACAAAAATTAGCCAGGTATGGTAGTGGGCGGCTATAATCCCAGTTACTTAAGGAGGCTAAGGCAGGAGAATTGCTTGAACCTAGGAGGCAGAGGTTGCAGTGAGCCGAGATCATGGCACTGCACTATAGCCTGGGTGACACAGGGAGACTCTGTTTCCAAAAAGAAAAGTGGTGGGAAAAGAGGCAGATTCACAGCACTGTTATCTTTATTTTTGCAGATGTTTAAAACTTTCCATTAAAAAAAAGTTTAAAGGCCAGGCGAGATGGCTCATGTCTGTAATCCCAACACTCTGAAGGGCCAAAGTGGGCGGACTACTTGAGGCCAGGAGTTCAAAACCAGCCTTGCCAACATGGCAAAACCCCAACTCTACTTAAAAACAAACAAACAAACAAACAAACAAAAAAACAGGCGTGGTGGCACATGCCTGTAATTCCAGCTACTCAGGAGGCTGAGGCACAAGAATTGCTTGAACCCAGGGGGCAGAGGTTGCAGTGAGCTGAGATCACACCACTGCACTCCAGCCTGGGCAAAAGAGCAAGACTTTGTCTCCAAAAAAACAAAACAAAAAAAAGTTTGACAAAAATATTAAAAGTACACAAATAAAAACCTTGAAACTACAGCAAGTGTTCTTTATCTTTTTTTCCATGAACCACCCCTTTGGCAGTCTGATGAATCCTATGGACTTCCTCTCAGGAAAACATTTTAAATGCATAATGTAAAATACAAAAATATTGCAAAGAAAAACAATTATATTAAACAGAATTTTAGTGTAATTGTTCTCTGTATTTACAAAATAAATCTGTGGTATGGTAATGTATGTGTTTCTTTATTAGATCATTATCTATGGGTCTAATAATTATTTTGAAGTAATGTTGAATGTAATGTGATATGAAAATATCTACAATCTCTGTTAATAATAAAGACACTGCTGATAGTTCTGTGATTTGTTTCCTATATGGTACAACTACACTTACCCAAATAAAACAGCTAGGTGGTTTTGCTAAGAAACACTGCTTGGTAACCAGTTTCCTGGATAGCCCAAATGATCTCTATCTTCTGGTATTTACACCACGTGTAGTCCCTTCTCACAATACACCATACAATAAAAGAAAATGCTAATTTTTAGTTAGATGTTAACGAAAATAAAGACCTAAACTTTTCCCTGTAACAATTTGCTCCTCGGACCCTAGATCAAAAGCCTCTTGTTTGACTGCTTGTTCATTTAACAATACTCACATAAGGAGGCATCATAGCTCTATACTGGGAAGCGAGAGCAGCCTGCTGTCCATTCAGTTTAGCCTGTGGAGGACCACAAGCTATCCTCTTTTCTACCACTTTGAGGATATCATTTTGCTCTGATGTTCCAGCTATGCTTTCATCCTGGCCAGGGAGCTTTTCATCTTGATCAGATGACGAAGGTGAGCCAGCAGCCTTACCACCATCTCTCCAACAAGCAACATCTAGTATGAAAGCAGAGAAAAAAGGAAAAAGATAAAAATCTGAAAATGGAACAAAGTGAAACCAAACCAGGCACATTTCAGGAACATGAAAGCAAGTAAGCAAAGTGAAAGAGCAGGAAAAGTCTAATCCAGGTCAGACTAATGCTTTCAAGGTGTTTGGGTAGTAGTGACTTCCAAAGTGGAGAGGATGTACCTCAGAGGGTGTCACCACAAGCAAATACTGGGGTGGGAGAAGAAAATATTAGAACTTCTCTATGAGGCCTTAACAATATTTGGTATAGAGATGAAAATCACTGCTCTCCCTATATCAGATGGCCATGTTTCAGAGTGACACACCTGAGGTTTCCTGAGGGAAGGAAGATGGGACTTCTACAATCTGGAAGGGTTGACAGTGATATTCTCATTTGTCTGTTTCCAGTATATCATTGCTAGTTACAGATGCCCCCAAGTGAACGGACTGTGTGAAATTATCTGGTGTAACTACACTTAACCAAATAAAACAGCTAGGTGGTTTTGCTAAGAAACACTGCATGGTAACCAGTCTCCTGGATAGCCCAAATTATCTTTATCTTCTGGTATTTACACCATGTGTAGTCTCTTCTCACAATATAGCAGGGTTGGTCTGCGTAACCTGTAGAATATGGCAGAAGTGATAGCATGTCCCTTTCCAGATTAAGTTATTAAAGACTGTGGGTTTCTGTCTTGGGTGGAGGATATCTGTCTCTCATCATTTATTCTGCAGAAGCCACGTCATAAGCAGCCCCACTAAGAGACCATGAAAGTAAAGAGCCAATAGCTACACCAGTTTGGAAGTATAGCCCCAGTCAAGTCATCTTTAGACAGCTTAACTGCAGCTTTGAGAGAAGAGTCCCTTGGCCAGAACCTCAAGCTAAGCTGATCCTGGATTCCTGACCTTCAGATACAGTGGGATATCATAAGTATAGTTCAGTTTGTTGTTTTACATTGCTGAATTTGTTATGCAGCAATAGATAACTGAAAATTCAACTGAACAAGAAAAGAGGAGTTGGCACATCTATTTCTAATACAAACGCACCAACCACATTATGACGCTTGAAAAATAAAAATAAAATTTAGATTTATTTAGATCTGATAAGAGCCAAAAAATATAAAATATATCAGGTTATTAGAAATACGGAATTTGTGCCGGGCACGGTGGCTCACGCCTGTAATCTCAGCACTTTGGGAGGCCGAGGCGGGCAGATCACGCGGTCAGGAGATCGAGACCATCCTGGCTAACATGGCAAAACCCCATCTCTACTAAAAATATAAAAAATTAGCCGGGCGTGGTCGCGGGCGCCTGTAGTCCCAGCTACTGGAGAGGCTGAGGCTGACGCAGGAGAATGGCGTGAACCCGGGAGGCGGGGCTCGCAGTCAGCCGAGATCGCGCCACTGCACTCCAACCTGGGTGACAAGAGCGAGACTCTGTCTCAAAAAAAAAAAAAAAAGAAATACGGAATTTGTAAACACTTCTGTCATAGATGAACCTCCCCATGTAAACAAGGTCCTTTAAGATACTTGGTAATGACAATATGAAGCTATCACAATTAAGAAGACATTTAAAAATCCCTCAAAAATTTTATACTTCTATTTTTAGTTTTTGCTTTGTAATGTACATAAACTATCCCTCACTATCCAAAATTACTTGTTTCCTCAGTTTGAGCTCAGAAAGTGAGGAATCACCAAATATTAATACAGTAGTAAGTAAATAGTTATATATTAGGGAAGCTTGCTCAAAAACTTACTAATATAAAAAAGTCCAAACATTGATATACATGAAAGTCACCTGGATATCTTGTTAACATGTAGATTTTGATTTAGTAAGTTGGATGCAAGGCCCAAGATTACACATTTCTACATGTTCTCAAGTTATGTTGATACTGTCGCTGCAAAAATCACACCTGAGTAGCAAGTGACTATAGTACTAAGTCTGCCTTTTCAAACTAGGCAAATCATACATACAACAGCAAGCAGGAGGTTGTATTGCAAGATAATATACAAATATGATCTCGCTTTGTATTAAAGAGAAAGTACTCTTACTTGGTGGGCGTAAACTGGGTCCAGGTCCATAGTTGTCATCATTTGTTTCCTTTTCTTTTTTTTCCTGATCCCCAGCTGCCTGCAGGCTGGGAAATTCTTGCTGAAACTGACTATTCACTTGGATTCCTATAGATTAAAAAAAAAAAAAAAATTAAAGGTAACTTTTATACTGAAGATAATACAAGCCACCCTTCCAGGATAGAGCTCTCTGCCTCTTTCTCATAAATTATTCCACATTTCAGTGATGACTGTTCATAGCCATAAATCTTTAAAATTCATCTAGACTCCTTTGAAAAGCTAATGATCAGCCATGAGGAGATGAAAGTCTAAGACAGTAATCTTCCAGCACCATTCCAGAGGACTCATTTAAGATGACCATGCAAGTGAAGAGCTTCTCTTGTTTCTCTTTCATTACAACTCCTTACATTTTCAATACCCATCAAATTCCTTTGCTAAGAATTCTCAGAATTCTTTCAAATCATATTACTGAAATAGTGTTTGATGAATAAAGACTCCAAGCTCAAGATGAGGCTAAAATGCCTTTATTTAATTTACTGCTTCATCTACTTTACTTTGATTTAATTTACAGCTGAGATGCCTGCACCTCACTATTCACCCAACTTCCTATCTACCTATTTTTTTAAATTAAAAGAGCTAGTTTTATTAGCTTGAGGGCCCAGATCGGTTCTTCCATAGAATGTTTTATAGACAGTCCCTGTTTTGAAAGTAGGAAAACTAAATTCTGCTGGGGATTCCATCATTCCTTGGGGAAAAGGGTAATATTACAGCAGTGGTGCTTTATGGCTACTTTCTAGCTCTTCTCTCAGGAAATCGTGGCAGCATGTCCGAAACAGGAGAAGTTGGGGACACAGTTGAAAAATGAGTATGGTTTCTCACAATCTATGCAATGGCTGGATACTTTGAAGGTACAAGCTTTGCTTGGATATGTAGACGTAAAGATAAAATAATGTGGGGCAGAGGGTATCTTAAAGACTCCTTTTCTTAACCAGTATCATTGACTCGTGCATGGCTCTTGACACTGGAATTTAGCTAGCCCAAGAGATTTTTTAAAAAACCTTTTTAAGAGCCTCGAAAGTATATCCTTTAACAATGCTTTATGGCTCTACCAAAACACAGTTCACCCTTTATCTCCTGCATGGCTGTTCAGTAACTATCAAGCCTAGGCAGTTTCCCCAACTAATGTCCACTTACCATCTCCTTGCCCACCTTGCTTGTTACTGGCCCATGATTTGGGAGCAGGTGCTACTTCTGGGGGAGCTGCAACCCCAGGTTTTGGCTGTGCTGGTGGCACTTCTGGTGTTCTTAAAAAAAAATATGAATCCATTATTTCAGATACTGTACGTTTAAATAAAATCAATATTATATTTAAGGTAAATCTGTGTACAAATTATTTTGGCTATATGTTTATTCACTGGTAAATCTCCTATAAATGTTTTCTCTCTGCAACATTCCTTTAAATGATTTATGGCTATTTTTATCCCCTTTCATCTCTGACTTTGAATAAGCCAATGAGATGAGTTTTGCTTGTTTTCCATTTTGTTTAAAAAAAAAAAAAAAACAACCCCACACACACACTTTCAATGGAACATAGTTAGCAAATATCTGCTTTGAAGAAGTGAACACTTATAATTAAAAATAGCAGTATAAACATACATACAGTCTGGAATGGTGAAATTAGCTGAGGGCTAAAGCTAAGCAAACTCTCCACCTGGAAGTCAACGGGATCACCACTGTACTTATTACTGTTATTCAAAGAGGTAACAGCAATCTGCCTAATACATTCACGTGAGTAAAAGGTATTTTGAAAGGCTGTACAGTTTTATTCAATTCTTGTAATGAGGTAATGCTTAAAAATAAGAAAGTAGTTAAGACGCTCACAAAATGCAATATATTTCTGGTACACTCATACCTATAACTGACTCAATACTATAAAATAATTTTACTACAGCTAACAAGCATAAGTATTTGATAAATTTCCACAGAAGTAGTCACATTTACTATACAAATCTCCCCAGGCAGGAGTATAGAATTTTGATAAGAGATAGGCAAGAAAACATCAAGTATCCAATGGCTTATCTTATTTTTTAAAATTACCACTATTTAGGCTTGGTCATTCAATTAGCTAAAAGCCTGGCAAAATCCTTGACACACAGAAGTCTAAATAGTTGTTGAAAGAACGATGACTAAGATGGACACTATTAATTCTATCCTAGCTTTCTTGCTAGAGTATATACAAATTATTACTTGAGCACCTATGAAACATCAGGCAATTTCAATGCTAGAGATACACAGTAAATTGGCAGCCAGACACCCTTAGTATCATGAAATTTAGGTATCAGAGTCAACTCTTAATCATATTGGAGAGGGAATACCGGAGTTGGTGGTAGTTAAGAGAAGGGGGAGCCTAATAAAGGCTATGATATAAGCAAGGTTGTGATTTGCAATTGTCATCTGTTCTACCCTGACAAATAGAAATACTTTTAATAGGGAAAATTAACCAAAAGTTACTATAGTAAAAAGACTTTAAAGAGTATAAAATATGTAATATATAATACAGACAGCATAACACTTAGTAAATAGCAGGTACTCAAACATAAGTTCCCTACAATGAAAGGGGAAGGGCTTCATTCTTTAACAGACTTTGACTCACTTTTCTTCTTCATGTTGCTCTTGTTTTGATGCCCACCCTGTGCCATCTTTAGGTACAATATTTACATTAGGATCATTGCCTTTGTTTTCTGCTTTAAGACTCGGGAGGTTAGCAGGTGGAGGCATACGTCGTGAAATACCGACTTTTCCAAGACTCTGTAATCCATGTCGAGCTGCAACTAAAGATCAATAACATCAACTTTCTTAGAACATCTATTTTATTACCCACATTATTCCTCAAACAATATAGAAAAATAGGAATTAATGTAATCCCTGAATGATTTTCATTCATATATTTTAAGATAATAAGTTTAAAACTAAGCTACACTTGCAACACAATTCAGTGTCGAAATCAAGCCATTTAACAGCATTTAACAGATTCCTTAAAAATTCTAACAATGCAATTCAATACACTACAGAAAACACTGATAATGCTGATATTTTTTCAGAGAATCTATTTCAAACTCAAAACTTAGAATGTTAGAGAATAAATGTATTGATTTTATGTTCATAAAGAATACTGTTAATATGCCATACACGATTTTCAGTTTTCATTATACTCACTAGGTCACAGTATCTAACACACACACTCATACACACACACACACACACACACGAAACATAGGACTTTCTCTAGTCTATAACTAAAAAGATACTAAATTCCCACTAATATATAGGTCTGTGCCTATCAATCTCATTGACTGAGTTTCCCCTTTAGAGCCATACAGTTCTTTTTTCCTGCTGACAACAGAGAAAAACAAAAATATTTTTAAAGGGCTCTATGAAAGTATAAATTTTCCATTACAAGATGTTTATCACACATTCTCTGAAAAACGCGTGCATGCATAAAAAGGCAAATGTAAATAGGGTGGTATTAACTTGGGTACATCCTAGTTTCTCATAGCAGCACGTGTATCACTTATGGTAACAAAACAAACCACGAAAAACATAAGTGTCACTTGATTTTACTCACCTGTGGTTTTCTGTGTTTCTAATGATTTCCCCTTGTAAGTATTAAATAAACTGAGTGTTGCATACTTTTTCCCATCCTTTGCTTTTGTGCTCTGGCCTGACTTCTCCGACATTTCGGTGGAAACTCATCGAGTCCAAAACCTCCTGTCACACCCTTTAAAACCCCAGTCCTTAAGATGTACATAAGAAAGAAAAATAAAGACGAAAAACTCAGTAAATTCAAATGTTCACAGAAATTCAGAAAAAATTTCACAGAACTTTTTAATACTGTCAAATTCCAATAACCAATACACAACAAAATTGATCATAACAAGCTATCATGCACTTGTGAAATATATCAGTTATATATGGTTTATAACTGCTTAACTCTATCATAGAGAATAAGGGTTACAATTCCATGCTGACATGAATAGTTCAAACACAGTGAGCCTATTGAGACTATTTTAAAAAGACATATTATCCAATTTAATATGCTTGAAATGACTGACATCAACCTTTGCACATGGAATCCAAATGACAGGAGGACATCTTCATTCCCCTACATACTACATTCCTAAATCATCAGGCAATATGTGCCCAACAAAGCTCTATTAATTTAACAGATTAGAACAGAAACAACATTCTTTGTTCTCTTCATTTTGTAAAAGGTAAAACATCTCACAAACACAAGGTACATAAAAATAAACTATTTCATCGCTGTGGACTAAATATTCAAAAATCAGTATGCATTTTTTTCAAAGCATATATAAAGTTCCCTTACATATGAGAAGTTGTAGAAATAAATAATATTTTCATAAGCATTCAAATACAAAGAGAATCCTCATCTTTAGAGCTAATGTACCCTCATCTTGGTGATGCACCCTAACTTAGATTATTAATAAATGGGAGAAAAAGACAAATTGTGTCTCCTACTATTTCTCTTCAATTTAATGAAGTTGTAGACACATATCAAACTAAGGGTTGTTTTTGTTTTTGAGGGGTTAGTGTAGCAGTAGGGTAGAAGATGGCTAATTCTACCACAGAAACAATCAATCGCTAAAAACACTGAGAACTGAAACACGGGAGTCAAAGATAGTATAGAATAGGTATACCACGCAGAAAGCATCAAAGTAAAGCCTATATCCACTTTACTTTTATAAATTTCGTTTCATCTGTTAGTTTTATATTTGTCAATTACAGAATTAGCAGAGACGTCATTTTATATGCATGTAAAATGCCACCCAACGTTTGTATAGCTCCATAAAATTTATCAGGCATTCTCACATCTATTATCTCATTTCAGTCTAACAACTTTATGGTGTAGCTACTATCTTGATTTTTACACATAAAGACTAAATTAGATTGAATTTGAAACCAGGGTGTCGGGTTCAATCCATTACACTGTGCTGCCTCCTCCCACATAACAATGTAGATAACCATTTCACTTTCCATGTATACATTTACAATAAACCACCCTTCCTTGAGACAACCGGCAACCTGAAAAAAGACTGACCTGCAACCAAAAGGACTACACTAATACAATTTGCCACTACATGTAGAAGAACGTATACAATTAATTATATCCCAAGAGTGCTAATGATGATGATGATGATGTTGTGAAAAGAGAATGTACTACCAAAATCTATCCTATTGGCAAATTTACCAATAACATGTACAAAGATATAGAAAGAATATTCATCTACAGTGACAAAAGAGAACAGTAAATATTCACTACCTGACAAAATTAAAATTCAAAGAGCTGTTTCATCAGGTGAAAAAAAAAAGGAACTGATGTATCAAGAAAAACAGTCAACTTGCTCAAGTTATTTAACTAAGGATCCTCAAATCTTGGACTTTTCTGAATACCATTACTACTCATGCAACACTCTTGGTGGAGACCCTTTCTGTATGTTAGAGAGAAAGCAACATCATGAGAAAAGAACTCCTTAAACTTTCTAGGAGCAAATCTCCAAACCAACCTGTATCTAACATCCAATCTTTCCTTCCTACACCTACTGCTACTGGGGTTCGCAGAACCATGCTTCCGGCCGGGCATGATGGCTCACGCCTGTAATCCCAGCACTGTGGGAGGTTGAGGCAGGCGGATCACCTGAGGTCAGGAGTTCAAGACCAGCCTGGCTAACATGGGGAAACCCTGTCTCTACTAAAAATACAAAAATTAGCCAGTCATGGTGGCAGGCGCCTGTAATCCTAGCTACTCGGGAGGCTGAGGCAGGAGAATCACTTGAACCTAGGAGGTGGAGGTTGCAGTGAGCCGAGATCATGAGTACAGCCTGGGTGACAAACTGAGACTCCGTCTCAAAAAAAAAAAAAAAGGAACAACGTTTCTGAGACGTGATTCTACAGAAACCATGTTTCTCTAGAAATAGGATAAAAATGAAAATTCTCAGGTCCCAACTCAGACCTACTGACTCAAAACTCTGAGGAAGGGGCCCAGCACTCTTTACAGCAAGTCTTCCAGACTGATTCTAAGACTTACAAAAATGTTAAGACCTACTGACTTATTATAAGCAGATATATTCTAAGCAGTGATTCTCAACTCTTGCTGTATACAAATCTGGAGGCAGGGGGGCAATTGGGCATCAACTCTTTTTAAAAAAAAATTCTTCAGGTGATTCTAACTGAAAGTAGTTTGAGAACCACTGCAATACATAAAGTTTATCTTTCTTCTCATTCCATTTAAGGTCAATCTTTCCTCTGGTGCTCTTCATCCTATCCCCACTTCCCTTCTTATCTAAACTCTTGTCTAGGAAATCTCATTAGCTCCTTTGGCTTTAATTACTAACTCATTACCTTCTGCTCAGTACTCCTGAGGAATATATCTCCACACCGCCTGTTTACATTTCTTTGTTTTGAATGAAGCTTCACCTTTAACTAGAACACAGGCATCTGTTTCATAGCAAAACTTTAAGAAGCAAGCCTACTAAACATTCTGTCCAGCATAAGAGAAAAATAATGGTTAAAAAATCAAATTGGGCTCGGATCGGTGGCTCATGCCTGTAATCCCAGCACTTTGAGAGGCCAAGACGGGCAGATCGTGAGGTCAGGAGATCAAGACCATCCTGGCTAACACGGTGAAACCCCGTCTCTACTAAAAATACAAAAAATTAGCCAAGCATGGTGGCGGGTGCCTGTAGTCCCAGCTACTCGGGAGGCTGAGGCAGGAGAATGGTTTGAACCTGGGAGGCGGAGCTTGCAGTGAACAGAGATCGTGCCACTGCACTCCAGCCTGTTTACAGAGCAAGACTCTGTCTCCCCCCACAAAAAAAAAGAAAAAAAAAAGAAAAAAAAATTAAATTGATGGTCAGTGTAGAAAATAATCAACACTTGACAAAATGTAAATATGCTATAAGAACTCAACAAATCAAAGAAGCCCAAAGAGTAAAGCTATGAACAGACAATTCACTAGAGAAATATTAGTGAGCAAGCGTATTAAAATGTCCAATGTTACAATTAAACAAAAATCAAAATAAAATGCCAAGTTCAGCTTTTCCATATTCTTACAAAGGAAAACAAAGTAGTAATACACAATTTAACCACAGGGTTATAGAATATCCGATTTAACTCTAGCCATCACAGAACACTCAAGCTTAAAAGAATCATAAAATGAACCTTAACTTCCCTACTTAAAGACAATACCAATCCTTCTCAATAACATGTTAAACCAATTAAATACCAGGACCAAGTTTGATTTATCCCTAGAATGCAAGACTGGTTTAACATATGCAAATCGATGTGATATACCACAGTTTAACAGAATGAAAAGTAAAAACCAAATGATCATCTCAATAAATGCAGAAAACCGTGTGACAAAGTTTAACATCCTTTCACGATAAAAACTCTTAACAAAATAGGTACAGAAGAAAATTCCTCAACATAATAAAGGTCATTTATAAAAATCCCACAGCTAACATCATAACCAATGGGAGAAACCTGAAGGCTTTTTCCTGCGATCTAGTACACAGTTAGAATGTCCACTTTTACCATTTCCATTCAACACAGTGTTGGAAGGACTAGCAACAATCAGACCAAAAAAAGGAATAAAAGGCATCACAAATCAGAAAGAAAGTAAAACTGTCCCTGTTTGCAGATGACATGATCTTTTAAGTAGAAAACTCTAAAATTTCACAAAAACTGTTGAAACTAATAAATGAACTCAGTAAAGCAACAGGATACAAAATCAACATACAAAAATCAGTTGCATTTCTTTTCACCAATAACAACCTAGCTGAAAAGGAAATCAAGAAAACGATTCCATTTACTAGAGCATCAAAAAGAATAAAGTACTTAGGAGTAAATCTAACCAAGGGAGCAAAATACCTGTACACTGAAAACTACAATTGATACAAGAAATCAAAGACCCAAATAAATGTAAATATCGCCCACATTCACAGACTGGAAGAATTAATATGGTTAACAAGCCAGCAAAGAAAGACCTGAGAGGATCAGAGGGGAACAGTGCCTAAAGTTCATAAAGGGCTGGGAATAGTACCTGTTTCACAAACAAGACTAAAAAGATGACATGACATGCTTCCCCAGGCATTAGGTAGAGTTGTTCTTTTTTTGGAGACAGAGTCTCACTCTGTTGCCCCGGCTACTTAAGTACAGTAGTGCGATCTCAGCTCACTGCAACCTCTGCCTTCTGGGTTCAAGTGATCCTCCTGCTTCTGCCGCCCAAGTAGTTGGGACTACAGGCGTCTGCCACCACGCCCGGCTAATTTTTGTATTTTTAGTAGAGATGGGATTTCACCATGTTGGCCAGGGTGGTCTCGAACTCCTGACTTCAGGTGATCCACCGTCCTCAGCCTCCCAAAGTGCTGGGATTACAGACGTGAGCCACTGCACCCAGCCCAGGTAGAGTACTGAGCAAAGCCTTGCCTCCAGCAGTGGGTGAAAATTACCCTAATGTAAATACTGCTCTGATCTTGTCTAACAAATCTTTTCTTCTTTTTATGTTAAATAAATGGGATGGGATCTCACTACATTGCCCAAGCTGGTCTGAAGTGATCCTCCCAACTCGGTTCTTCCCAGTAGGTGGGATTACAGGCATGTGCCACCACGTCTGGCTTGTCTAACAAACCTTAAAGCCACACTTGAAAAGATCAAACAGTTTCCCTGTAACTTAACTGAATCCCAGAATCAAGTGGGGTTGGGGTGGGGGGAAATCAAG